AAAAAAAAAAAAAGAGCACACCCGAACCCTGACGAAACCCCTAAAATTCTCGGAAGCTTCCCCACCTCCACTGGCCCCAGCTCTGCCTTCTGCTCCACCAGCTGCTGCAAGTCCGGCTTCGCATGTTGGATGCAGAGCTTCGGCTCTGGCCCTTCGCCTGCTGGGGAATTTCGGAAAACTGGGGTACCTTATTCTGGGGTCTTTAGAATAAGGATCCCACTACTTAGGGTCCTAGGGTTTAGGGTTCTCAGGGTCCCTTATTTTCTGAAACTCCCTCCTCCCTCCTCCCGCATGCCCGGACTGGAGTCGTCCTGGAAGCGACCCCAGCGTGACTTCCCAGAGAGCCGCTGGACCGCGAAGTTCAAGAGCGTGACGGCCAGCAGGACCAGCAACACCAAAAGCAGAGGCACGCAGCGCGCCAGGGACGCCCAGGCGAGAAGGCTGCGGACGGTGTGCCGGACCCAGATGCTCCAGTTGTGCACCAGGAAGTCCGCGGCTACGGCACCCATCGTAATGCACACAAAGGACAGAATCAGCAGCCTGTGCCTGCACATCTCGCCACTTCTTGCGGCAGCGACTTGAGAGTTGGAGCCCATCCGGTGGTCGACCATTCCGCTGGGCGACTCCGCCTCACCGGAGGTGACGAAGACGGAGACCTCCGCCCGCTCGCAGAGACGCCGCCAGTCGATCGCCCCAGAAATGCCGCCGAACTCATCGCCACGAACCGCCCAAACCAGGTGGAGCTGCTGCCAGCCCGCCTCCAGCCACTGGAGCCCAGAAAGAAGGTCAACGAAGGGGGAGATGCCCACACCGCCTTGGGATCTGGGAGTTAGGACTTTGGACACTTCGTGAAGCTCAAAACTGGGGACCCTTAAGAAGCTCCCACCTGCAACGAGCAGGAGGTTGCGTGGCGGCAAAGTGCTGCTTTGGGCCATGGGCTTGCCATAGGGGCCCTCGATTCGAAGCTTCAAAGCCTCCTGTGACACCTGTTTGCAGAGGGACTCGGACCAGTCACCCGCGCCCTTCAGGAGAACCTGCGCTCGATGTCCGTTCTGGACCACCGAGTATGGGTGCCACTGCATTCGTGAGACACCCCTCTCGTGAAGATAGACCCAACGTGTGCCCGGCATGAACTTGAGTTCCGGCGTGGTGTTCCAGGTCAAGAGGATGACGTTTGAAGTGCCAGTTCGGCACAGAACTTCTGCGGTCACATCAGAAAGTTCCTGTCGGGTGATGAAAGCAACGATCCGATCTTTCATGTAGAATGCCAGGCCGGGAAACATCAGAATCACCATGGGGAAATCATGGAGCCCGCAGAAAAGAATAAACAAAAACGAGAGCGCCACATGGGCGAAGTAGAAAAGGTTGTAGGCACTGCGCCGTACTTGCTCTCGCGAGAGGATCGCCAAAATGCTCACTGCAAAAGTTGCAACTACACCAAAGCCGTTCACCAGGCCAAGGGTGTTCCAACACAATGGATCCTCTGGATCCTTGCAAGAAGAAAGTGCTACCGGAATGGTTGCCTCTAAAAGCTCATGCCATCCACCTCTCTGCAAGTAGAAGGCTGCGAAAGCAAGGGAATGTAGAAGACTCATGACAAGAACCCACCATCCTGCCAGCCTGTGGAATGCAATCGTCTCCGTGTAATCCAAGCTGTGCCACTCTGACAACACCGAGCGCCTGGAGATCACAAGCAGCATGACGGCCAAATAGACGGCTGCTGCCCTCCCTGTGACAATGCCAATGAACTCCATGGATTCGATGAAGGTCGTGTTGAATGTTGTGCTGCTCGAAACTAGAGGCTTGAGGAGACAGATGGCCAGTGTGGCGACGCCGATGCTGTGTAGCATTGCATTCCAACGGAAAGCCGAGACTTGCAACATTGAGTTGGGAAGCAAGACTATGCAAAGCACGAGGCACAAGACCAAGCTCAAAGTGGGAAGCTCCACCGGCAGACCCTCAAGCCGCTGACACGCAAACAGCGCCATGGTGTAGTAGTCAATCTCGCCCACGAGCCTGCAGGGAGCCCCCACATAGGAAACGATCAAAATCCACCAGCAAACCGTGAGGACGACGAACCGCTTCATCGTGGAGAGCCCTCAGCACGGATTCCTCTGCGCCGGCTGAGCCAAAACTCACCGGACGTTCGATGCAAGCGAAGCCACAAAAGCACTCATTGCAGCTCTTGGGAGCCTGGATGCAAGGTTGCGGATCTTATGTACTGCGGCAAAATACTACAGAATAGAATGCCTGTTTCGAGGAACCACCAGCAGGCTGTTGTACTATGCAGCTTCAAGTTCAAGCTATCAGCATCTGGGCCCCAAACCTTGAACCCCGCGAGATTTGGGCCTCTTATAGTATTTCTATATTCGAAGCCTTCAACCACGTACTCCCCAAGAACTAAAGCAAGTCTTATAAGCATCTACTAGGATTATATGGAACCTGAGTTTCCAAACCAAGACCCAGACCGCCAGAAAGGCCCTCACAGTAACCGTTACATGACATGATGCGCCTTGTATGTCATAGTAACATAATAAGCCCTACCCCCAGTACTTGGAGGCCCGGGGACTTAGTAAGTAGGTTATAAGTGGAGTTATAAGTACCCTAAATGGAGTTACCCCAATTATAACCCTATTTATAACCGACTTACTAAGTCCCCTAAACCCTAAACCCTAAACCCTAAACCCTAAACCCTAAACGTCCAAGTATCCTTTTTTTAGCAAAAGAGGGACGGGGCCTCGGTGGAGAACTCGCGAGGACACACAGAGGCGCCGCGGACACAGGAGGGTTTAGGGTTTAGGGTTTCGGGTTTCGGGTTTAGGGCTTAGGGTTTAGGGTCTTTCAAGGTTTCGGGTTGAAGGTTTCTAGGTTTAGGGTTTCTAGGCTTAGGGTGCAGCGGGGCAGAGGCGACTGTTGAAGACGAATGTGGCGGCTTCCGAGAACTTACCATTCCGGACTCGGTGTTGCAGAGACCTTGGTGAGAAGGTGCGAATAAATATGGCTGATGATATACATCCTGCATTACCCATCATACAGGAATAACCATAATTCCCATCGTTTAGGGTCCTGAAGG